ACAAAATATGTTAAAGCATTAAAACTAGGACAAAATTCTCAACTAACACTAGGACTACAAAAAACAGAAATATGTACAAATACAAGTACATTTTGACCCATTGCACCAATGTCCAACCACATTTTAGGCGCACAAAAAAGGTAAAATTGTGCACTTAGCACTTTTATGGTGCACAAAAAAAATTGTGCACCTAGCACTTTTTAGGTGCACATATTTGTGTGCGCCTGCATTTTTCAATGGACAAGCCCTGGTAATGTAAGTGTTTTTGACTAGTGCAAATAAATTGTAACTGTGTTGCTGTCCCGGAAACATATTACTCTTACTTAAACACAGAAAGTCATGATTTTTCAGTGCTGCTAATACTTCTGAATACCTTTAATGATATTTTAAGTCACTTAACAAAGTTAACAATTATAGTATTATCTCTTCTGCAAATTTATTTAGTACTGTATTGTGTTTGCTTTTGTATTTGCACAGTCTTGGAGCAGGATAGCTTTTCATTTCACTGCCCATTGTACCTGTATAACTGTGCGTGAGACAAATAAAACTTTTGAATCTTGACTCCTTGTCACCTACAGCTTTTAATTATTTGGCTTAAGAAAATGCCTTTTGCAAGTGACGAATTATACAGACGTTATATACGGCACAACTTGCCAAGGTATGTGGACAAATTGAAACCAATGGAAATCATGGTTCATCTCCCCTGCCTTACTCAGTCTGATGTGGTGAGTCTCAGTTCATACTTTTACTCTACTTTAATAAATTTATTGTGCTGATTTGTATTCCCTTACATACATTTTTGAAATGGATATTAGCTTTGGAAAGAACTCTGTAGTAGACTCAGTTTAGTAGACTCAGACTACAGTTTCACTGAGATTTGTACTGCCCCTTGTTGAATTATAACACTCATTACTTTTTACTTTGCTATATTTATTCTGAGTTTATAACATTAAGCATGCTTATTTTGAAGGATGAAATAATGGCTAAGAGCGAGAGCAGAGGCAGTTACGACGGTGTGGTGCTGCTGTTGGACTGTTTGAAGCGGAGTGAAAACTGGCCTGATGATTTAATCAAGGCCCTGAGATCCTGTGAACAATGGGAACTTGCTTCAGAGCTTGAGAAGGCATATGAATCACTCAGGGTCCGGCCCACTAGGAGTAAGTTTTTGTTTCAGTTATTCACTGGTCCTTAAATAGCCCTTAGTGTGTGATTCTGTTGGTGTCGCTGCCATGGACTGGCATCTCCCCAGGTTGTCCTCTGCCTCCTGCCCTGATCGTTTTGGCTCAGGCTCCAGGCTCACTGCAAGATTAACGATTATGGAGGGATGGCTGGGTGGACAGTGTACTTAAGTAATACTCATAATATGACCTGCAATCATGGGTGGCACGGTGACACAGTGGTTAACACTGTTGCCTCATACCTCTGGGACATGAGTTTCCGTCTCCACAATGGCTTCATGTGCAGTTTGCATGTTCTCCCCATGTCATCATGGGGTTTCCTCTTGGTCAGGGGTGTCAAACTGCAGTCCTGGAGGGATTGAACCCTGTGTAGCTTAGTTCTTTCCCTGTTCCACCACAAACGATTCAGCTCAAGAGCTGTGTGGTAATTAGTACAAGTAGTTGATCAGTTGAATCAGGCATGTTAAATGAGGGGAAACCGAAAAATGTGCAGGACTTTGAGTTTGACACCTGTGCTCTAGGCACTCTGGTGTCCTCCTCAGAGTTAAAAAATATGCTGGGGTTAATTGGAGTCACCAAACTGTCCATAGGTGTGCGTGTGTGCGCGCGCGTGCCCTGTGATGGGTTGTTGCCCCATCCTGGGTTGTTCCCTGCCTTGCACCCATAGCCTCCAGACCCCTCGTAACCCTGAATAGGATAAACTGTTATGGAAAATGAATGGATGGATGAACTGGCAATCAGTGTCACTCTTCCAAAATCTTCCTAACCTACAGGTAGTGGGACTCCTGCTTCTGTTCCTATGACTGCTCCAGTGGATGCCAGCCGTCACACTGTCTCAAACCTTCCAGAACATGCCACTACTGAAGCTGTCCCAGCTGTTCCAGCTCCAGCAGAGACGGGCCACTCAGCTCCACTGCCCAGTCCCTTTCAGGCGGCTTCCAGTGATAAGGGCATCACCCCTAATCACACAGATACTCTTAGTGGTCCGGGTGAGACTGACTCACAGGTGTCTGCGTTACCCCATGACGCCCACCCTCGAGTCACAGAAGAGCTTAAGAATGCCTCTGTAGTATCTGCACCTACTCCTCAGGAGAGCCTAATTGGCAGGCCAGTACAGGATACCAACCCACCAGATGCCAGTCCAAACCCATTTCCAAAGCTAGTACAGACCTCCAGTTCAAGCAATGATCAGGTAATGTCTCAGCTTTTTAAGATTTATGCTTTTTTGGCCTCAAGCTGCAAAGTTGCTGCATGTAACACGTAATTTACAATGAAAAGACTTACTTTCATAGACTTAATGAAGTGGAAAACAAATTTTATGAAATTGAGATAGTAAAGTAAGTAATTAATAAAAAAAAAAATGTAAAGGTCAGACCAAACTGGAAGCCTTATTTATTTAATTTTAACCATGTATTTCTAATATTCATGAAAAAAACATTTAACTTTTATTTCTTCTTCAAATACCTAAGTTTGCCTAATCTGCCAATCATGTGGAGCATTACTGCCGTGTTCTTTATGTAATGTGGTTTGCTGTATCTCTGGAAGGTAATTGATAACCATCCCCATGCGGAGCCTAGTCCAGCACGTCAGGCTCAGCGTACTGCCAGGCCAACTGCATCTTCTGCTGATCTTAACCAAGCCGAAAATCTTGCAACTTCCACCTCCAACCATGATGCCATTTCTGAAGAAATGTACTTTAGCAAGCCTGGAACACTTCGTGCCCATTCTGCTGAACAACACCATTATTTTGACAATCAAAGAGCTGCTGAATCAGTGGAAGAGGAGCCATACTCTGGTAATTCTGAGCGCTTGGAGATGAGCGAATCTGTGCAACACCGAGAGCCGGAAGAGAACTCTTATGAGAGCCTGCTCAATAGTCAGGATGTGCGTGTAATTGAAGGACATGTGACTGAAGAGATCCCTATACTCAATCATGCAGGTCAACCCACAAGCCCGGCAAAGGAAAAACTGACCACTCGTCATGACATCCACCCCACTTCTGGAAGAGCTGACATTGCAACCCATGATTGTACACAAGAAGGGGGACCCAGCTTCCCCTACAACCTGTTAGAGAACTACCATATCCCTCTTTTTGTTCTGGCTGGAGCATGCATTCTGGTCTTGGTAGGGAGACTGAGGAAATAGTTATGTTAAAAGGGGATGGTGAATGTACAATATCTCATACAATATCAAAATCTATCTATATGCTTGTCTTTTGAAAAAAGATATTTTAGTTGAATGTCTATACATTTCCTCACATGAGTTTAAATATATTTTTTCATATTTTGCCTAACATTCTCTTTTGTTTTGTATATTCTTTATTCATGTAAAACTTTCATATAAGAAGACTATTAATCATGAGCACGTGTGTCCCTTTCAGTGAACCATTCTTAATACTGCAGTCCAATATATTTTAGTACATTACATATCAGTTTGATTTAGCATATTTATCATTCTGAAAATAAACCTTAAGATTTTCTTTATTTTTGTTTCTTTTAATGCCACATAATGCCAAGTATCTGAAAGCACTTGTTCCTTAAAACTTGAAGATAATAGTTGAGTTATTCTGATTGAATTTTTAAGTATTGGTCTTGTTTTGGTCTTGGGTTTAGATGAGTCGTGATCTTGTCTTGATCTTGAAGCAGATGGTCTTGAACACATCACTGGTTTTGCGCAGCAGCTGTTTGATCAATGTTAAGTGCAGCCATGGATAAATAGCTATCATTGGCCTGTTTTCTTTAAGAAAAAAAAGAACTGAAGAGGACTGAAAAGGAGGAGGACTGGATTTAAATAAGACACTTTGTACTTCAGTTCAAAACTCAGATAACTGCCTTGTGTAGAATTGGTTTCCTTTTTAAGTCTTGCGTGGTGCAGCCTCTGTGCAAAGGAGTTCTGAATTGTGACATACTGTATTGTTTATTTAATTGCTTTTTGGGTTACGCAACATATATTTTCACTCCCGGAAAGTAGACAAAGTGATAAGCACTTTTTCACTTTCATAACTTTTACACATATTATAAGAATTGCACTTATTGTCCTATAATGCCTGGTACTGTCAGTTTTGTTAATTATTTTTGTCTTACATAAGAGGTTCACTTAAAAATTGTGTTTTGTTTGGTGTTAGGTTTTATTTGGTTTGGTGTTAATGAGATAAATAAAAACATATTGTAGGTACCCATTGGGCGGCGAGGCATATTGGACTGGTGCCTGCCCTGTATAAAATGTAAATAGTTCCCTGTATTTTTTTATGTATTGTGGTGTTACTCTACTGTTTTTGTCATATTTGGTGTTAGTGTTAATTGTTGCAAAACATACTGATGGCATGTTGAAGCTTGTTTAAAGTTTGCTGCACAACATTTGGACAAGCCAATGAAATACTGGGAGAATATAGTCTGGTCAGATGAGACTAAAATTGAACTCTTTGGATGTCATAGCCCACACCATGTATGGTGAAATGGCACTGCACCCCAAAATCACCATATCAACAGTGAAGTTTGGGGTTGGGAACATCAAGGTGTGAAGCTGTTTTTCAGTATATGGTGCTGGGAGACTTCGTATAATTGAAGGAAGGATGAATGGAGAAATGTACCTTGATAAGAATCCGCCAGAGTGCTGAAGATGAAACGTGGGTGGACATTTCAGCAAGACAATGATCCCAAACACACAGCCAAGGAAACTCTCAATTGGTTTCAGAGAAAGAAAAAACTGCTAGAATGGCCCAATCAATCACCCAACCTGAATTCAATTGAAAATTTATGGAAAGAATTGAAGATCATAGTTCATAGAAGAGGCCCCACGGAACTGTCAAGATTTGAAGATAGTTTGTGTGGAAGAATGGGCCAAAATCACAGCTGAGCAATGCATGCCATGTTTCTCTATACAAGATTCAAGATTCTTTATTTGTCACATGTAGTTATAGCTGGTACAACATACAGTGAAATGTGTTTTCCTGGCTGAACTCCGACTGTGCTAGACGTAGGTGTCTTTGGGCTGTCATTAGCAATAAAGGCTTTTCTACTAGGTATTAAATTAATTTCAGTAAGTGTGTTCAATACTTATCCTCTTTGTCATTTTGCTTTATTACGCATGACGTAATTTATGGAATTGTTTTGATTTCTTTGTATGGCGTGGACAGGGGCGGATTAACGCACAGGCTAGATATGGCTTAAGCCTAGGGGCCCCACGTGTGCCAGCCTGCAAGGGGGCCCCCATTGGCGCGGAGCGGGGCTGGGTTGGGGGGCCCACAGACTACTGTAGCCTAGGGGCCTCCGTACACCTTAATCCGCCCCTGGGCGTGGATTACTTGGGTTGTTACCGACATCTGGAGCCTGTACTACGAAGCGGGGTTACTGGCTTATCGGGGTAACTTGTCAGATTTAAAGTAGCCTGGGCAAAATGTAAATGAACGAATATGAAGTCCATTTAAACTGTAGTAGCCTACCTTAAATCCGACAAGTTACCCGATAAACCAGCAACCCTACTTCATAGTACAGGCCACTGGTTAAATTTCATATCAATAGCCCCTTCAGAAATACATTTACTGAGAAAAATGTACTTATTATAAATGTATAATACTTATTTTCCCTGCTTTTTTTTTTCAAAATAGACCTATAGCCTATTAAAAGGGATAACCGCAATTAATAAACAGTCTGTGATCATAATTTATAATACATTTACATTTATTCATTCATTGGATTTGGTTTCGTATTTGGCAGAATCTTGAACTTTGGATTCAGTATCTGACAGAACCCAAAAATTTAGGATTTGTTACATCCGTAGTTGAAATTTTACTTGTTTACAGGTCTTGCGGGCTAAGGGCGTGTGAACACTGTCTGATTTTTCCTAACTGCCTTCACCTTGAAAACCTATGTGTAGGGAAGCAGGAAGCAGCTGCTCTTCTGAAAAGGGTGGTGCAGCAAAAAAACACAACCCAGCCAGTGTGTAAACGTCCTAATGTAGCCCCATTTTTTATTTTGCTTTGCTTTAATCCTTGCACTACAACACCTAACATACACCAAAACAATTTATATGTATACTTGGCATCAGTCCAGCATGCCCATCGCGCTGCAATATGTATTCATTGTGATAAATCAGTGCCGTATCCAATAAACATTTCCGTAATACATTGCAAACCTGCGATTTGTTGAGACTATCCTTTAATTATTGTCAGAGGTTTATGTCTTTTGAATGCTACACTTAGCAGGTATAGCCATACATGCCGTGGCTTAATAGCAAATTACCGTTGCCAAAGTGTTCGGTATCTCGCATCAGTAGGTAAGATTGTCACCCGTCCCTTACAGGAATACATGTCGATCCCGTATTATAGGGGACGGATGGCAACCCTACCAATAGGCAAAAAACGGAGGCCAATACATAGTTTGTGAAGATGTGAGTTGTGGTGTCTGAAATCAAACTAAACTTAATTGATCCCAGGCGAAAATTACTAAATCAATCACGGACTGGGATGAGAAACGGTACCGTTCCCGAAGATATTCGCCGGGGAATGACAATGTCTAACTGGAGAAGAATTTTCGGCTCTATGTCGACTGGAAAATGATTGGGTTCAAGTTATTAAAAGGGATTGCGCGTTAAAGGCGCTTTCTGGAATATGACGCTGCTGAGTAAGTCAAACGAGACGGCACAAAGGGCAGCTTCGTATATATAAACGTAGTAACTTTATGAAGTACAGCGCCGTCTACCAATGACTTGACTGGAAGTGTGTGCTGCAGCCAATCACACGCTGTGAGGAGGAGTCAGTCACAGGTACAAACTGAAAGGAAGGAAGAGAGGAACGAGTAAGAGTCTCAGGTCAGCAGTTTGACCTTCGTCTTGAGGTAAGAGGAGAAAGTATTTTTGTCATATTGTTTTTATCCTCAAATGGGTAACACGTGTGTCGTGACTGTAAAAATACACATAAAACTGCTAACAGGTTGAAATCCTTGACTAGACGGCCAGACTGACTATATTTGATTTCTTTTTATCTTAATTGCATAAAAGAGAATACTGGTGGTTCATTCAGGAAAATCAACTTTGGTTTTCTTTTTTAATTAAACGTCGATAACATGGGCAGCTGGGTCGCTGGCCGAGTGAAGCCATGATATACGTGTCATTTAAAACAAAATCATTTAATTTTCGTTTATTCCATGAAATCAATACGAAATAATGTAGCCTTAGATTTTCAATCATTAAAACACACATATTGTACATTTTATTGTACAAGCTGAAAATGAAGAATGCGTGTTTCTCCCTATCATGTTACATACTATCCCGAGAGACTACTTTTTAAAATAATATACATTTAACGATGGTTGCAGTGACCAGTTTTATGTATATGCCTTGAAATGTTCGTCTTACATCAGACATCAATGATGTTTTTCTACATATTAATATAGAATAATGACATGTTTCAATAAAGCTAATAACGAGTTCTAAAATGAAGTCGCTGTTACGACCTCTTCTTTAGAGGGCATTCAACGGGCATGGCTGTACATTGCATATTTGTAATATTCGGGGCCTGATCTTTAGCACCTTCACTGACTTGTTTACTAGAAAAATGAAGAAAGGTGTCATAATTTACTTAAATGTGTACTGATGCTTCTACTGATAGTAATGTAAGAATTAAGAAAAATACCTTTTAAGATTTTGTTCACTTTTCTCCGCTGTCCTGTTATAAGATTTCTAAGCATTTTGAGGTATCCTAGACTCGAGAAACCAAGGAGAGATTTAAATTGTCTATAGTACATTGAAATAGAGCTGTTACCTGTATTCCTGATTTATAATGCTTGACAAATTCTTGTGTGAGGAAATGAGCCAGCCCTCTTCTGCCGTTACAGGAATGACCTTGTTTCTGCACTGCTGACCTCCAGAATGTAGGCATGCATGAATTCATTTCCTGCTGCCATCTATCCAAGTTTCTGTCATTTATCATGATTGCAAACTACTACTGGCCATCAGCCACTTCTTCTCGCTAAAAGAAGTGATCAGCTGAAACCTTTGGCATGTGTCCAATTCATTGGTATCGATCACATTGTATCAGGGTCAGCACCCATCCGACCCTGTCTTACGTGTTCCATTTTGACCAACAGATGTCTCTGGTCATCCTGTTTCCCCTTTCCTCTTGTAGCCTTCAGCCCTAATATGGCTCTGCTTCCTGGGCTGCTGTGTAGCTCAACGGATTGAGTATGCAGTTCAGAGGCTATAGAGCAGTGGGCTGAATCTTGAATCTCTAATACACTCCAGTCATGTGTTCAAGGCTGGACAGAGGCCAGTCTCATCCGTTTTGTTTGTGTATTGGTAATTTATTTCACCTGTTGCTGGTTGTCCTGTACCTTGGTTGATTGGTTAATTTCTGTGATGGTCCACATCTGCCATTTGTTAGTCCTTGTAATCTATGTATTTAAGTGCTTGTCCTCATTCTGTTCCTTGCTGAGTCATTGCGTTTTTTCATAGAGGTCTGAGCTTGTGATGATATTACTGCGAGGAGTTGCTACTAGAGATGCACCGATACCGATATTCGGATCTGTATCGGCGCCGATCCAGACCTATTTGACGGATCGGGAATCGGCCATGCGTGACCGATCCACGTCCTATACTTACTTATTTAGTTTTTGGCAATCAATCGCACGACAGCTCTTTCCCATTTTACATGTGTGTTTTTGCGGAATTCAAATCGAACGCTATCACTGCCCCTAAGTCTTTTTTGCTACTCAGTGGGTGTGAGTACAGTGACTTCCGCCTGCTGTGAGGTCATGCGCATACCCTTCGCAGTACGAGGAGCGTAAGATAAGACGTGACGATCTGGGAGTATTTTAGGCTTTTAACAGAAACCGGAAGCACAGCGTTTTGCAATCTATGTAAAATAAGGTTTTGAGGTGGGAATAGCGTTTAATGGAAAATCCCAACTGCGAGACAAAACAAAGCAATGGATGATTTGGGAGTCGCTAACTTAATTGGACTGTTTTGCGAACTCGTTGCTTGAGATACAAGAGGGGCTGCCATCGCAACAAAAGTGTAACTGCGCTGATGCCAATGGGAGAAAAACTGTTAAAATTTTAAGCATTCGCCACTTGTGTATATTTGCTTTGAAGATATTCATATTGAACTGCAAATGCCTCAAAAACGCTTAAAACAAATGAGGTGGAACAGTACGTTATGTATGTTTGTAGTAGCCTAATTAAATATTTTTTGTCATACATTTTTTCCATCTGTATTTACTAGCTTAAAAAAATAATATGTAAAGTATAACAAAGTAAAAAGAGCTCTTGTATCGGAATCTGTATCGGTATCGGCAATTGTGTATCGAAATCGGATCGGAACTGAAAAAACGTGGATCGCCCATCTCTAGTTGCTACCCGGAATCTGTTCTCTGTACCTGTTATCTATAGACGTGGTTGTCCCCTAGTTCTACTCCTGGTGTTTGCCCTGTTCCCAGTTGCATTTCTTTTATTTCAAGTATTACCTTTTCCTGTTTTTGATATTGATCCCTGTGGTCTCTTGATTTAGTGGTTTACCCCCGTTTTCTGTTTTGTTAATTAACCCCTTGTTGTGCGGAGCTATACTGCCTGTGCAAAATCACGGCAAAACACATGGGAACATGCAACATTTTCAATGTTGAACAGAAGTATAGCTATTTCCATCGATCACATTACAGGTTTTACATTTTTTTTTATCCTGTCAGCACACTTTGAAATTAATTCTACATGTCAAGTGTTCTTTGGTGTATGTACATAGGTTATCTGAGTTGTACTTTTATCTTTGGCTTGGTTCTTTAGAGATACTCAAGTCAAAGGCTTTTTTTCCTCAACAGTTATTCCTGGTTATGATTTACTTTAATAAATACAGAGGCCCTACTAGGTCTTCAGCAAGTCATCTTATTTAACATTTGTAATTCTTTGCTATAAAATTTGCTCTGAGGCTTGCAAGAAATGCCTGCATATACTTGAGCATAAAGGGAAACCATGCTTATGAATAAATTTAGGCACTGCCTTTTCCTGTCTTTTTGCATTACAAAATCCCTAGTTAACCCTCTCAAGGCAGGCGTTGCTGAT